ACCAAGCAGATGAGATCCATGCTTTTGAGCCCCTGAGGAGTTCTGTCTCCCAAGCATGCTCTAATGTAGGCATTTTTGTGTTTTTACACACAGTCCCCTCCCAGGAAGCCCTAGCAGAAGAGAGGGTGTGAAGGGCCCTTCTATCTCTATGGGCTTGGCAAACTTTATTTCTGTGTCTTGGAGTTCTTTTTGATTGGTTTGGTATGGTTTTGTTTTGTTTTGAAGATAGGATCTCATTTTATAGACCAGACTGTCCTTGAACTGGAGTTCCTCTTGTGCCAGCCTCCAGATCACTAGGATTACAGGCATGCATAACCTTGTCTTTCTCCTTGACTTAGCTTTTGAAAATCAATTCCAAAGGACAAATTGATGATTCTGTGTTATAACCATGTTCCATATTTAAATTTCAAGTGAGTCTAGAGTTTATCTCTAATTGACAGACACCTTTCTTTGCAGCATTTAATATTCAAATACCTGCTCATAATAATGCCTCTTAGAAGTGGGGTGGTAGTGGCTCATGCCTTTAATCCCAGCACTCAGGAGGCAGAGGCAGGTGGATCTCTGTGAGTTCTAGGCCAGCCTGGTCTACAGAGTGAGTTCCAGGACAGCAAGAACTACACAGAGAAACCCTGTCTGGTGGCTGGGAAGTGGGGGGGGGGGGAAGGGTAAAAAAACGAAAAGATGCCTTTTAAGCCCCATTTTTGCTTCATTCATCTGTCCACTAGGGGTCTTTCTTGTTTTGCTTCTGTGTTCTGGAGAACTTTGAAACAGGCGAGTTTAAACAAAGTGCTGTAATTGAAGGGAGTCCCTGCTGCGCATCAGGAGTCTGTTGAGGCTGAACTCATTTGCACCAAGCATTTCACATGCACTCCTGAAAATTCCTCTAAATCACTGAGTGCAACAAGAATCTGCTAAAAATACATAGAATAAAAAATAAAATACTTAGAGTCAGGGAAAGCAACACAGAAAATGCTATTGTTTTAGTCACTGTTCTGTTTACATGCAGAGACATCATGACTGAGGCAGCTCTTGTAAAAGAAAACACGTAACTGGGGACTAGCTTCTGGTTGTAGAGGGCCAGTTTGTGATCATCGTGATGAGATGCAGACACTCATGGCACTTCCTGAGAGCTTTGTGCCCTGATCCACAGGTAGCAGGCAGAGACGCTGGACCTGACTCTGGGCTTTTGCAAACTGAAAGTTCACCCCCAGTGACACACCTCCTTCAATTAGGTCACACTTCCTAGTCCTTCCCAAACAGTGACACCAACTGGGGACCAAGTATTTAAATATGGGAGCCTTCCTCATCCAAGCCACCATGTCTAGTAAACATATGCTTAGTGATCCAAGAGCAAGGGCCTCACCATGCTAACAGTACTGTCAGGGACCTTCAACCCAAGTCTCTGAAATCCTTAACTACAGTAAGTCTTCTCCATGTTGTTTTTCTTATTCGTGGTGTAGAAACTCTTCTCTATATTGAATATTCAATCCCTTTACTGTTTTTTTTCTTTTGTTGTTGTTGTTTTGTTTTATTTATTTATTTGGTTTTCGAGACAGGGTTTCTCTGTGTAGCTTTGGAGCCTATCCTGGAACTCACTCTGTAAACCTGGCTGGCCTAGAACTCACAGACATCCACCTGCCTCTGCCTCCTGAGTGCTGGGATTAAAGGCATGAGCCACTACTGCCCCACTTCTAAGAGGCATTATTATGAGCAGGTATTTGAATATTAAATGCTGCAAAGAAAGGTGTCTGTCAGTTAGAGATAAACTCTAGACTCACTGGAAATTTAAATATGAATCATGGTTATAACACAGAGTCTTCCATTTCTCCTTTGGAATTGATTTTCAAAAGTTAAGTCAAGGAGAAAGGCATGGTTGTGCATACCTGTAATCCTAGCAATCTGGAGGCTACACAATTTTAGCATTCAATAATAACACATTCACTTTTTTGTTGTTTGCAGTTTTGTTTCTTGGGGTTTTTTGTTGTTGTTTTTTGTTTGTTTGTTTTTGTTTTTTGAGAGGTATTTTCTGTGTAGACCTTGTCAGTACTGGAACTCAACTCTGTAGATCAGGCTGGCCTCAAATCAGAGATCTGCCTGCCTCTGCCTCTGGAATGCCAGGATTCAAGAATTAAAGGTGTACACCACCACCACCCAACATGTCAACATTCAAATTCATGCTTTCTGTGTATAAAGCACTCATGAACTTATGCCACACACAGCTGTTTTTTGTCGTGTGCTGTTTTATCTATTTACTTATTTTGGTAAAATCTCATGGTTTTATTAATAAAAACTCATCTTAGAACAGGGTCAATTGGCCCCTTCTCTTCCCATGCCTCTCATTTCCAAATGCCAGAGTTCTCTGGGATCTGCAGTTGGATCAACACTCGAGCCTCAGGTCAATCTCCTTTGTAGTTACAGCCTTTTGGGGAAAACCTGACCACCATAGCTACCATTTCCGTCTCCTGCTTTCCCTGAGCAGATAGGATCCTTGCTCTTCGTGGACAGTGGCATTTTGTGGGGCTGGTGTTTGCCATATTCTTGCAGATAGTCTGGCAGGTCAGGAAGGTCCATGATGTCTGCTGGAGTGGTGTCCTCACAGAAAGAGGCTGGGCACTTACTTGTTTATTTGAGGACTTCCTCAAAGAATACTTACTTGGATCAGCTCAAAACACTTCATTGCCTGGCAGTACTGAAACTTAGCAAATCAGTCTTCCTTTACTAGACATGCGGGGACCACATTACTGCCTGTGTATCAACAAGTAGTCATGTCCTCATTTTCCTCCAGCCACATGACGACAACCCTTGTTGTGTGAGTGGCGGATGACGAGTGCCAACAAGGCTCAATTCAGATGTGCGCTGGATTTCCCTGGTCCAGCAAGCATAAGTGACTTAGAAAGGATTGTCCCAGTCCGTCTCTCTAGCATTAAAAACCATGTTATTAAACACATGTTGCGTCTTTGTACTAGATATGAAAATAATAGTCCCAGCAAAAACATTGTGTCTGTTCTAAGGACTAAATGAGATGGTTCATTAGAACTCAGCACATGGCATGTCGGAAATCCCCTCCGCTAACACAAGGTATTAGTGACGTCATCACTGTCATTTGAAAAGCACTTATGAAATTCCCTGTGCACTCAGAGGTGCCACAACAGTTCCACGGGTCCTCTTATCCCTATATGCTTACACCCAGTTCACCATGATGACCTCACCTTGCCAATGAATTTGTGTTAGTGGCCACACCTCTTGGGCGTGGCTTTGGGTGCAGGCGTGACCAGAAAGAAGGTGGAGAAGCATGGGGCGGGCACTCTGTCTCTTGGGTCTTGGACCACATTGGGAGACTGCATCTTCTGGAGCAGGAGCACTGCCACGGCTCTTTACTATTATCTGTGTAAGTTGTTCCCCAATAAAACACCATTTATCATTTATATCTTGGGTCTCGTGAACTCATTAATACCCCGACTTCAACCTGCTGTCTCTCTGGTGGCCATTAAACTGTCATTCTCCGGCTAGCAATGTAGCCCAGTGTGTGGATTGCTCATCTAACAGGCACAAAGCCCTTGGATGATCCTCAGCAATTCGTAAACTGGGCAGAACAGCACCAGCCTGTAATCCCAGCACTTAGAGGTGGAGGCCAAAGACCAGAAGCTCAAGGTCATCCTTGGCTACATGAGACCCTGTACCCTGCCACCCCCATACGCAAAGGACACTATACAAAGTCAACTCAAATACATCATGTCAATGGTGGTGATAGACTTAACTACATCAACTCTGACTGATGAAAGCGAATGAACAAGAAATGGGGTGGGGCACACTGTAGCTTCTGTTCCAGAAGACTCACTGCAGCCTCTCCTGACAACAGACTGGTTTCAGGCAGTTTAAGTGTGTCTCCATGTGTGGCCAATGTCAACACCACTACTGAACTTTACCAAGGGTTATGCAGGAAGTGAGCAGGGCTGGTCAGACTACTGTCAACTACCGCCTGAACGTAGGAATCTAAGTGTTGCTTTGGAGCATCCGATGTGAGCATTTAACATCCTCTTTTTTAAAATTCTGTTTTAATGTGTGTAAAACAATGTGTTCTGTGGTGCTGTCACTTCTATACATATATATCACAATTTGTTCTTTTTGCCCCCAGCTGCCCTCCTTCATCTCCTCTCCATCCCTTTGCTGCCCCGCCTCACATAGTCCCTTCTTTCCGGTCTCAAATGTTCTATTCTTGCTTCCCCTCCCCTTTGTCTGCAACCATCTTTCTCCCCTCCCATAGCCCCTCTCTGCTTTCATGTCCTATGTGTAACTGTGCATTTTATATGTATATACATGTATATGTACATCCAATTATACCTATATATGTATACATAAACTTAAGCCTCGATTCCATATATAAATAAAACATAAATACTTGCCTTTCTGGGTTTGACTTACTATAGTTAGCACGATTACCTCCAGTTTGATGCACTTCCTTGCAAATATCAACTTTATTCTTTACCGTTGTCTAAAACTCTATTTTGTATATGATCCACATATTCTTTATCCATTTATCTGCTCATAACATCGCCTTGCCAGGGGAGCCTTTTGTAGCTCTTCCCACACAGTCCTGTATTCTTCCTAAACACCCATCACAAGGAAGAACTGAAGGAGAAAAGAACTGTTTGCAAGGAAATAAAAGGGGAGGCTATGACTGCCTCAAAAGCTGTGCTCCCTGCTCGTCTATCCTGAGGACTCTGGATCCCATCACTGGCCCCGGGAGGAGAAAAGTCACATTCCAGATCAGGGTCACAAGTTCCAGCATAAACTGAACAGCCCAGAGGCCAAGGTCAAGCTTAGTGTTCCTACGGTTTGTCCATTTGTCTTGAAAGCCTTGCCCAAGACTCAGCAGAGTTAATCAAGTTTAACCAGCAAAAGGCCTGCACGACATCCCCAGATGGGGAGGAGGAAGAAACGAGCAGTGTGGAACATGGCATTCTACTGCGTGTGCATCTAAGAAGCAATTATGAGCCAGGTCAGTGGTACACCTTTAATCTCAGGAGGCAGAGGCAGGTTCCAAGACAGTTAGTTAGGGCTACACAGAGAAATTCTGTCTCGAAAAACAGACGACAAACAAAAAGTAATCGCGACAGAACCAGCTTTACAACCTTCTGTAGCTTTAACTGACTCAACACATCACTCCCTACTTTCTGGGTATTTCTATAGACAAAACTGAAAAGCAACAATTCATTAAGTACCAAGGTGGTGACAGCCACTCACAACAGTGCCTCAGCAGATGGACATACCTGTTCCAAATGAACAGCCTCACCAAGGTGTAAAACAGCATTCCCAACATGGTGGGCAATGTCTAGAGAAGTGGCTCTCAACCTGTGGTCACGACCCCTTTGGGGTCACCTATCAGATATTTACATTACAATTCATAGCAGTGGCAAAATTACAGTTATGAAATAGCAATGAAATATGGTTGGGGGCGGTCACCACAACATGTGGGATTGTATTAAAGGATTGAAACAATAGGAAAGTCGAGAACCTCTGGCCTAGAGAGTCTGATACACAAAGATATTTGGATGTTGTTGAATTCAATTTCATTCCATCTGAGAGTGAAGATACGAGCTGCCCCATGCAGAGCATTGAACTAGTGCAGATGAAGCAGACTAGTAACAAAGTATACAAAATCCATAGAGCTCTGTTGAAAGGGCCCTTCTGCTGAAAAGCAGTCCTCTTAGCAACTCTTGTCCACACAGTCTTATCCCAGAGGAAGCCGAGTCAGATGACGCTATAACACTGTATGGAATGAAGTCTGACCAGCCACGAGGAATGCTGGCAGACATGGGAAGATGACACAGCTCACTGCTGGCCTGTGTGCACACATATGCATCTTACACATGTATACACACACAAACAGGCGTGCATGCATGCACAAGTTTATCCCAAACCTGAAGGTGCATACAGTGAATGATGTGTGATATCCTTCACAGTTCTCTGGTGGCACAGAGGACAGTAGTAGGTGGATTGGGACATAGAAAGAGCAGCATTGTGGGTAAGTTGACAATAGTTGAGATGAAGTTAAAGAATCTGCAGGAGTTTGTTAATCCTACTCTGTCCGTGGAGGGGTCTAACATTTCTCATAACAAGCAAACCAAGAGGAAACAAGTTCATGGCTCACTTTCAAGTGAGATAAACTCTGAAAGAATGACAAGCTTTCAGAAACGAAGCTGTCAGCAGATACCCTAACATCCTCTCTGTGGGGAGAGTGGATATGTTGGGGGTACAGAGGTACAGGTAGCATCTAGAGCAGCTGACAGGACTGGCCTTGCACATCTGCCTAGGGACAGTTGGGAACTTGTGAGGATGCTTTTGCTTATAGTCATTGGCGGCAATACTGATTCTCAGTGGGTGTGTAGGGGTCAGGAACACAAGAAGTCCTTTAGACCAAGGACAGGATTCTTCACCTGTCTGGGATGTCCAACTGAATGGCACTGGTATGAGGAGCCTGATGTGCCACAGAAGTCACTGGTGAGGGGTTCTCCTGACCCAAGCATGAAAGCGAGAGTTCCACAGATGGGGCGAGGCACAGGTAAAAATGAAATCACAGACACACCCAGAACTGTAAGGAGCCCATCCACAAAGGCAAAAATGCCATGACTTTGAAATCCCTGCTCAATCAGAACCTAGGCAAAAATACTGTGACTCTGAAATCCCTGCCCGATCACAGGCTTGTCAAGACAGAAGAATCAACATGCCATGGAGAAAATATTTGCAGGTTTGAGAAAGAGGGAAGAATTTCTCATAATCAAGAAAAGGTTGCACTAACATAGTTAAAAGAGAAAAATGTAGGAGTGTGTGTAATCAGAAGTCACCATCAGGGACTAAGCTGGTGCTTGTCTCCAGGAAGGACGCTCTAGGACAGCTTAGCCCTGAAAGACTTAACACCCACCCTGAACTTGGGATGCAAATTGCCTCCATTTAGGGACATTTTCAAATTCATTTGTGTATTGCTAGCGAGACCTTTCTCCCATAATCCTGGCATTAGGGCATTGAGGGGGAAAGATTGAGTTCCTCCTGGGCGACATAACAAAGCTGGTCTCAACCTGTTCCCCAAATGTACCTATTGATTTTGGAGGCACTACCTAAAATATACCCTTTTCATTTTTAAAATTTGACTTCAAGATTTCCAAGGGTGTTCATGCTTAATAATTTTTTTGGATTGCATGCCCAAGGGACTTGGGAAAAATAACTTCAGAACGGTCCCTGAACCTCTCCCTCCCAGTCTAAGTGAACTATTTACTATTTATTTAACTGACACACATCAAACCACAGAGCAGTGGCTCCACCCCAAGTTAGCATGTGATCTTTAGAAATATGATTTCACATTTCTGATCAGGTTATGACCTTAAGAACTTCACGGTCTCTTTGCAGGAAACAAAGACACATTGAAACAACTCTAAATGTGTCAAAAGTTGGCATGAGATGAAATCCTAAGTGAGTTGTACAGATGATAAATGGCTTAAGTAACAGTCATGAGGTACATAGTTGTGGCTTGGACCCTGGGGGAGTGTTTTGTGGGGAGTGGGCTCTGAAAACTGTGGAAGGCACACACAGACCTGAGGGAGGGCTGCTGTTTGGCCATTCCTTGTCAGCACCGCCCTGAACACTGCTCCCAGATGACAGGTGGTGTACTCCGGCCTCCTTGTCTTGCCTCCCCGCCAGCATTTCTGGATTTTCACAGGTCACCTGATTCTGACTCCGCTGCGCAGGTCCTTGAATTGTCACGTTCTCCATGCAGCTCTTTTGGCCACAAGCCTTGGCCTGGAACAGCTAAGCAAGCAGCCAAGATGCAATTATAAGAAACAGGAGGGGCACTGGTGTTTTACATTCATGTTAGGTTTTTTTTTTTTCCCTATGCTCAGACAAATTCTTTTCAAATCATTTTTTTCCTAAAAAATAGCACTAAAGATGACAGAAAAGTTTCCCCCAGTATATCATGAATGGTAGAATAATTTTGAATAATGTTTACCAAAATATTGGTGGGTGAATTTTAGCAATACCATTCCTAGAATCAACTTTAAAAGAATTAATCCAAGGCCAGCAAGATGGCTCAGTGAGTACAGGTCCTGACCAATCGAGTCTAGTGACCCGAGATCAATCCTCAGAACCCACGCAGAGGTGAAAGGAAAACAACCAATCCCACAAAGCTGCCCTCTGACCTCCAGATACATGCCCGTGGCACACGCCTGCAGACACGTATCATGTGCACATACAGTAATAAAATTTTAAAAATGTAAATCATTAATCCACCAGCTCTGCCGAGAGTCAGTAAATGAATCTTGAAAGAAGCCAGAATCAAAATCAATCTACTGTATAATTAATTATGTGTATGTTGGGAGTCAATGATATTCATGATAACCTGAAGTTATCATGAATCATCACACTCATTTCAAGTGTGTTTTTAAGACTTCCTATCACGGCTCTTTTCTCCTTCAGTAACTGCCATTTACGGGCCAGTATTTTAGAACAAGTTTTTTCCACCAGGCAGTGGTTGCACACACCTTAAACCCAGCACTCAGGAGGCAGAGGCAGGCAGATCTCTGTGAGTTCAAGGCTGCAAATGGAGTTCTTAATTGGTCTAGATAATAAAAAGCTGGAGTCAGATATAGAGGGACATGCTGAGAGATCAGAGAGAAGGAGCAAGCCACAGTCACACCTTACCTCCTGAGCGTCTCAGCAGAGAAGAGCGTAATTTCCTGTTTGTCCCTCTTTATATCCTGTTTCTGTCCAGCTACGTCACTTCCTGCCTGTCTATACAGACCTCCAAACCTCTATGGTTAGCTGGTGTTAAGCTCCATTCTTTGACCCCCAGAAGGGCTTTACTTGTACAAGAAAGATATCACCACACAAGGCCAGCCTGGTTTGCAGAGCGAGTTCCAGGACAGCCAGGGCCACACAGGGAAACTCTGTCTCAAGAAACCAAAACAACAACAAACCAAACCAAACCGGAACACTTAGAGTTAGCATACAAGGCACACAGGGAGGGAGAGCAGTGAAGCGTTCTGCTTTCTCCGTTGATTGCTGTATTTAGAATCTTGCTTTTGTGCTTACCAGCATTCCTGCTAACACAGGTGTGGATGTTCTGAATGTGTGCATGCCTGTGTGTGCATGCCTGTGTGTTCTCCTGTGCGTGCGTGCGTGCGTGCGTGCGTGCGTGCGTGTGTGTGTGTGTGTGTGTGTGTGTGTGTGTGTTTGGGGGATAATGGAGCCAGCAGTTTTTGAGACAGTGTCTAGAGAAGGAGGTTGCAGTCTGGACCCATAGTGTCCGTGTGTTTATTGGGGAGTTTTTAGGAAGACTGAACTCAGCTCTCTTGTCTGCGGTTTCAGTCTTATTCTGGTCCGTATTTTAAAGAACCCCGAGTTGCTAATAGTAACATACACTTATGAAGAGGTTTTCCATCCATTAAACTTGAAAAGGTGCCTTTTTTCTCCCACAGAGCCTGCTTGGACACGAGATGTAATGACTCAAACATGGCTGTTTCCACATTAGTGGTTCTTCAAGTATCACTCCCATGTCTGCCCATCACTTGTTACACTAAAAGCCGACCAAAGATAACTGCTAAAAACTAATCATGAAGTTTGGATTTCTTTTAACATCAAGTACTTGGAGCCTCATTTAAAGCAAATGTGCTTCTTTCTAAAAAGCTTATTTTAGTTTCTTAAAAATTTCCAGCTACATTTAGGGAGTATGTTGTCAGCTCTGCATGATATATGTATCAATTCTAAAAAACACAAGTATACTGTTAAATTTTTAGAACATAAAACATGACTATCAGGGCATGGTGGCCTAGTATAACCCCAGTATCCTGAGGAGGTGGAGGCAGCAGGGTTGTGAGTTCAAGGCCAGCCTGAGAGACACAGTGAGACTGTATACCAGTGTATCAAGGGCTGTAGCTTACTGTAGAACTCTTGTTTGGTTCGTTAAGGTTCTACACTGGATCCTCAATACCAAACCCAAACAAATGTGAGTGACTTTGAATATATGTGTTCATATATTTGGTTTGTAGCATCATTCCCTGCTGCAAGTATCTCCTACAGTAGTCAAGAAAATAAGCCTACAAGCTATGGACAGGCCCCTGAGCAGGGCTAGGAAAAAATACTCCCAAGTGTATTGTCTACAGCCTGACTGTTTGTCTAGCCACATGAACCCTGCCAGCAGGTCATATCTGGGTCCCAGAGCACCAGGTCTTTCTCACCATTCACAGAGCTTGGCAGGGCTCTCCAAGGGTGCCCCTGTGCCGCCACTATGTATCATTTCCCTCTTAACTCAAGAGAAAGTTCAAGTAAACAAGTCATTTTATCAAATAGTCTATTTAAATCCAGCTTCTTTAATCTGTTTACTGCAATGAGAATAAGAGCAAAGCCCGCCAGAAGCCTGCTCAGTGTCCTGCCTCCGTTTATTTTCATGCTTCCAGGTTGGCTAACTCTCTCAGCTTTAGAATGTAACAAGGGTTGCTGCTTGTTTTACTTTTCTGTTCTTCCATTTTCAGAGAGAGAGAGAGAGAGAGGAAGGGAGGGAGGGAGAGAGAGAGAGAGAGAGAGAGAGAGAGAGAGAGAGAGAGAGAGAGAGAGAGAGAGAGAGAGATGCAGTGTGTGAATGTTCTATGCTGTGGGCACACACGGATGTGCTCCATGCATGTGTGAGAGCACATAGGAAGAGGCCCATGAGCATCAGACATCATCCTTAATTGTTCTTCCATCTTACTAAACGAGGCGGAGTCCCCAATCAAGTCAGCACTTGCCAATATGGCTCGTCCGGCCAGTCAGTTTGCTCTGGGGATCTCCAGCATCTGCCTTCAAAGACTTGGATAACAAGCCATCATGGCCACCAGGCATTTGGATAGGTTTTGGTCTCCCAACTCCAATTGTCACACAAACCCAGCAGGCACTTTAATACTGAATTATTTCCCTATCCTGAGTCTTCTATTTGTGTTGATTTGGAATACAGGGGACTAGAGCTCAGTCTCCCTTCTTTTTGTTCAGGACTCCTAATCCTGTGTGAGAATCTCATTGGCAGATGGTGTCCTTCATGGCCGTGACAAATGGAGACCAAGCCCAGGCCTTGCTCACTCTAGGCAAGCATTCTACCACTAAGCTCTGTCCCCAGGCTGGCAAGTGTCTTCCGAATTAGGTGGCACTGTGCTTTAGACGGCTTCCTCAGCCTCTTCCTCCTGCAGCCTGGTCACCTGCTGCCAGGGCGTAGGCTGAGAAACCACAGTGATCCTTTTGGATTCTGACCCCTGAGAGACAAGCAAAATCAGGCAGATCTACCTAAAAATGTCAGGGGACAGGGCCTTCTTCATCTCCCACAAGACTTTACTTGGAGAAAATAGCTTCCCACCGTCCTCTTCCCTCCAACATTCACCAAAATGTCTCATGGACTCACCTAAGAATGACCGTGGTTGAATTTTACACCAAGGACTTCTAGAGAGCTTGGCCATGTATTTGTTAAGTATTTTGAGATGCTCTTCACTCTGAGCTTTTGGAATATTTCCAACTCCTCGAGCAGTTGGTTCTCACAGGTCCCTAACAGCGTGTGCTTAGCGGGTGGGGCTAATCTGGAGGTTCCTGGGAAGACTCCGAAGCTAACCACTCTTGAGCAGATGTGGCCCTTGGACGTCAGCACAGCTGGGAAACAAACGTTCCCAAGTAGACCTCACGCTTCTCCCACTCAGGTCTCCTTCAACCACTGGGAGGAGCAAAGGAGCATGTGGTCAGGACCCAAATGCCTCACACATGCAACGGTGGCGGCGCTGTGCATGTGAAAGCAGTGCATGCTGGGTAGGACCCAGCTGAGCCGGGCTCCCTCCCTTCTCACCCCTGCTTCTGACACCGAAGCTCACAGGTGGACCAGTGGCCAACAAGAGGTGTCAGTCCCTTGTGTGTATTGTTTCCTGGAGAAAGGGCTATCTCCTTCCGGAACACAGACGCTACCCCAGAATCTGAAGGTACGTGGTGACTGATAAATCATCACAACCCTGCGCCTCGTCCACCCAGAGCCCTCCCCAAGGGCTGCTCCTTGTGCCCTGGACACAACCCAAGCGTAGGGAGCAGGAAGTATGGAGTCTGCTGCTGCTCTTGCAGGCCATGTGGCCTTGGACAAGTTGTTTACCCCAAGTCTGGAATTTCATTTTTTCTGGCAACAGTTGACTGCACGTAACCCTGAATTATCACATCTAATAAGAATTCTACTTGTTTTGGTAAACTCTGCATCCTTTTTGTGTGGAGGTGGTGGACGGTCAGGAAATGGGAAAGGCCAGGCTTGGCTTGACTGGATATGCAGAGAAAAGAACCGAGAGTTACAGGAAGAAAGGAAATATGTTGGAAAAGAATGAGAAAACGGAAACAGACAAGAGCCCGAAGAGACTGAATTGAGGGCAAACTGGAGAGTGGGAAGAAAAGATATGGGATGCGGAACGTCTAGAAAGAGAGAGCTGGGGATCTTGTGGACTATTAATCTCCCTTTAGCACTGTTAGGGGTGATTTGGTTAAATAAGAAAATCATTTTTTTTTATCAAATAGGTTGTTTGAAACCGTTTTCCTTTATTCAGCGTGTCCAAACATGACGTAAGGATAGAAAAACCCAGAAGGCTGTCACATCCCTCTACCTGGATCAGTCCATTCTCAGCCCAGCTTCGGACACCCCTGGACCCTGGCAGCTCAAAGATGTGCAGCGGCCCCAGCAAGATGCTGATCATGTGTCACTGAATGCATTGTTTTCTATGCTGCCCTCAGATCTCAAGCCTGAAGGAGGCTGTGAAATAATCACAACCCCTTTGACTTTGTTGTCACCTGGCGTGAGTCAAGTGGGTGACAACTTTGCAACCTCTGGGGTGAGCACACGTAGACTTCCTAGGAACATCTACCTAGAATCCAGTTGTATCCCCAAAGCTCCCTGAATCCAAGAAAACCTCATCCTTGTCAGTTACAACACCATGCATCTGAAAAGCTCCTTTGACATCAGTAATAAAATAGAACACAACAAAGTGCCTTGGGCAGCCAGTCTTGTGACACTGTGGGCTGACAAGTGTTTGTTGTTGTTTGTTTGTGTTTAACTTCTTCCTTTGTATACGATAGCCACTTGTTTTAGTGAGGCTCAAAGGACAGTGGAGAAGTTTTATGTAGAACTTATATTTAGACATAGAAAAATCAAGAAAGTCAAATAATTACTGCATCTTCTTTTTTGGAGACTATTCCTATCAGAGCTGGGTGCATGGTTTTTCTTTTTCATAAAACAGAGAGCTAAATAAAGGCCAAGCGCATTCGCTTGGTTTTCCTGTCTCCGTGCAGCTTCTCACACCCATGGCATCTTGCCTCCTCTGTAGGATGCTGTCAGTCACCTCGCCGCCCCAAATGTAGTGAACAAGTGGCGACACTGCTTTATTTCTGGTGAGGAAAGGAAGCAAATCCATGGGAGCTCCTGCCCACGGCGCGGGGACGCCTGCCCACGGCGCGGGGATGCACAGGGACTCCTGCCCACGGCGCGGGAACGCCTGCCCACGGCGTGGGGACGCCTGCCCACGGCTCGGGGGATGCACGGGGACTCCTGCCCACGGCACGGGGACGCCTGCCCACGGCGCGGGGATGCACAGGGACTCCTGCCCACGGCGCGGGAACGCCTGCCCACGGCGTGGGGACGCCTGCCCACGGCTCGGGGGATGCACGGGGACGCCTGCCCACGGCACGGGGACGCCTGCCC